CGACTTATACCAAGAGAATTCATTTATGGGAGCGGTATTCGTGTCATGGGTTTGGTTTGGTGCGAGTTTGATACCTTTCCACAAATGCATGTTAAAATGGCAACTACATGCCTTCTACATTGTTGTGGAAATTGCAAAACGTACATACTTCAATAGCAATGTTATGACAAGTATGTGCTGAAATTATTTTTTTATGACTTTAATGAAATAATAAGCAGTGTAACATGTGCACAATATTAAAATTCATATATATTTTTCGTTTCTAAAATATAATACATTATTTACGTAGAAATCAAGAAATTACACGAAGACTGTGTGAATCATTATAATTTTGTCGATCATGGAGTTGTTTTAACTAATCATAGAAATGGATAAACATTATATACTCCTTTCAACTTCCTTCAAAACGATGTGTTTCAGAGTAAATCGTCATAGTATGCTAAATAATAAAAAAAATGATAGTACAAAATAATAATAATACTAAATAGAACACTATTTATAAGAAATTTGAGAAATATATTTTTAAAAAAATGTGATAACTCAGTGTCCGGGCGCTCGCTTTTAATTCAATATAAGTATACTCGAGCAACCTGACTTCAAATTCCATTGCCGGCAACAATGCAATTATTAAGTGCTGATGCACAAGGGTAAGGAAAAATATCGTGAGGAAATCCGCTTATTTTCGAAATATAAAATACTTCAAAGATATATGGAGTCAGCCAATCCGCTGTGCTGATGATCAAGACTGTTATGACAATTGAATATTACTCCAATAATTTTTAAACATCTACTAATTTCGATCCACTAAGTTACAAGGATATTCAATTTCTAACATATTATTTAAACTTTATTGATTTAAAATTATATACAATACCGTTCAAATACAACGCAAATTCAATAAAAATTATCACGTTTCTTGATATAAGAGATAATGTATTTATTGCGCAAGGTTTTGGTCAGATTTAGCGGTTTAAATTTCTATACAGAGTAACGTAATACAAATGGAGCACTACGTCTTGGTTGGCGACCAGCCGTTTTGAAATACAACCCGATTCAACATCTCTGTTACCGATGGATTGCACCTAAATTAGCTTCAGGCTACAAACAGATAGTGAGAAGTAAATAAAAATTAATAACATTCATAAAATTTTGTTTTTAGTTTCTTACGAAGATGTACTCCGTGACTAAATAACGTTTCAGAAGGTCGTGAACTTTTAAATTTGCTCACCTTGTCGAAACAGTTTTGTAACGCTTTAACCAAACGTAGCGCGGGCTTCTTAGAAATCTATCCATTGGCGTTTAGACTTATATCATCAATCCTAATTTTGTTTTGATATTCTGGCGTAAATTGTCACCTGTCATCACGAGCCGAACGCAAAAAAAGTTTAAATCCTCATGTCCAACTTTTGAACAATGCCTAAAAGAATCGGTTGCTGCATTACCATTTGCAAACATGACGATACATTAAGAAATAAAACATGACCGTTTCTAAAAGAACCATAACACTTCCGTGGTCAGCGAACTCGCCGCCGACCCGGATCACGGATCACTTGGCTCATTCAGCGCCGTTAGCGACCACTGACATACTTCCACTCTCACTCCAGTGATCTACCGTATCGGTACTAACGAAAAGTTAACTTTACGCAGCAGGTGTTCAGTTTTAGGCAAGTTTTGCGAAATAAGAAACAATAGCGACTTCCCCTTTTTGTAATAATAAGAAATATGAAAGTTATATCGAAAATATTTTACTTCAAGTCCAATAAAAATTTGTGAATATTTTATTATTATTTATGTTATTAATTATAAAAAAATGTGTGCAACATAAAATGTTGAAAGTGAGATAAGTGTTATAAAATTTTAGACAAATCAATCTTTCAATGCTAGTAACGTTAGATGTGTGTAAAGTGAGATCATTGGTCAATAATTCTAAACAGGTTCATCTAATATAATCATTTCGCCTCGTAGACGAAGACGGCAAATGATCAGACGTTTCACTTGTTGATTTACCTAAGTGATTTTCTCCACCAATGGACGATCACGACATCCATGGAGTGGCAGTTGCCAGTTGTTTGCTTCGTTAATTGTTTTTGCGAGTCTAGGCGTATTTGTGTCCATGAATTGTCATATTTGTACCACCCACAACAAAGGATTTATTTCCTAGGGCCGAAGCCGTTTATAATATACAATAAAAAGGAGTAGATTCTCAATTCGGTTGTACCTTTTATGTTTGTTACCTCAGACTCAGGACGCCGACATTTAAAACCATATTTGGCAAAAGATTTATTGAAAAGGAAATATTTTCAAGCGATCCCATTTTTATTATGGTTCGATACCCACACGGGACAACTATTTGTGAGGTCAACAGATTTATGAATATAAAAAGTGCTTACAACAAAGGATAATGTTTTCTACAGTAAGGACAATGTATTAAAAAAAAAGAGGCCACGCAACAATCTTCGCTGTTGCACGAATCCGCAGGTCCGTTTGGGTAAGTACCACGTCCTCCCAGAAGGCCGACGTGAAGTGGAAGTGCTTTACTTCTGCGTTTCGTCTGGTGACTGAAGTAGCCAGGACCCAATTTATTATAAGGTGGCAACGCATCTGCAACCCTACAAGTGTTGCAAATGTCCATGGGCGGCGGTTGTCACTTACCATCAGCCGATCAGCCAGCTCGCTTGCCACTATCTCGTATAAAAAAAAATGACGCACTTCTGAACCTACCGCCGGCACCATCTTGTTTATTGTGCCAACGTTATTGTATTTTTATGTATTGTCGAGTGAGAATTGTTTAGCAATAGCCATTCCCATTTGTTGATATGCAATGAGTTCCGGAGCAATCCCAATTGTTTCGCAATAAATGAAAAGACAACAAATTCTTGACGCTACTTTACACTACAAAATGATTTTTTTTCTTTTGCTTTTATTTTTCTTTAAGATTTAACAGTATTAATTGAATTAGTGGTCTTTTGTTGTGGCGTGTGTGTACGATACAAATGATGATACTTCCTTAACGTCCCCTTAAGGAAGTGGCATCTAATCTGTATCTTGTATTTTTTTAATGTTCTATGTGCAGAATCTTTGCGCAAGTCATTTCGTTTTTTGTTACCACAGTCTCGTATCGAGTCATAAGAACTATCTGTCCCTGTCAACCAATTTAAGTTTAAAATATTTAAAGGCGTAACATTTTTGGACTATAGTTAGATTCGACTAACCACTGAGGGCCGTCAGCTGTTCTCTCTAGTTAGTAGTAACTAAAATGTAATGAGTTTATTTCGTGAAATATAATCGAACTATACTACTTTATTAAGAAGCGGTTTGCGGTGGCAAAACTGCCAAGCAAAGTAACACTACAAAGCAAATACAAGGAATTTTTGTAGATTTTTACATCTTGAATTGTGAGTACATGTTCGTAGACGTACAAGTACATAGGTATGTCGGATATAAATAAGTTAATTTGGAACTTTCAACATTTATCGGTTATATTCAATGGCTAGCGCCGCTGTAGGTTGTTTATATCTTTAAAAAAACTTCCTGCTTTAGCAAAAGCAAACAGGTTTTGTCGCAGACACTATTCTATTAATTAATTGTAGTCAGTGTTTTCTTTTGTATCATATGCGAGTGAGAGGCAGAGTCAAGGACGATTTTTTTCTATGCAATTTTTTAAACGTTTTGCCATTTTATTTTAAGTATTTAAGTAACTTCTTTGCACTCTTTTTTCAAAAAGTATGAAGTTTAAATTCAGAGATAGCAATCTTGTCATTTCTAATTGCGGCATCGTCAACGGCCCGAAACGTAGGGTAAACTAATTTATTCAATGTAAAAACGGCTGCGTCTGTATTACTTATAAGGTAATATTTATGTAATAACAATTATAAAGGGTACTTCAACACAAATGACTGTACATACAACATGATTTATATAAATTCTTTTACATTCTACTCGACTTAAAATACAATAGAACGTGTAAAGGCTTGATTCAAAAAACAAACGTGACTAATGTTTGCCATAAATCTACTAATGAATTTTTCACGGCTTAATAACCATTACCATATCCATAGTTTAAAACGTTCTATGGTTGCGTTGTTAGATTTAGCCAGAAATATTATTTTCGTTTTCGAGATGCTCAATCTCAATGTAATAATGTAAATTAATTAGTAATAAGTTCGTTTGTTTGTCATCTTCATCTTCTTTAAGAAGACGAAGATGACAAACAATTCAAATAAGCAATAAGTTTTGAATTGTTTGTCATTTTCATCTTCTTTCATGTAATAAATGTATGCATATGTTGTAATGAATTACTTATCTAAAATGCATTTTAAGGCTCCAAAAAAATTATGACCACGCAGACGCCAAGAACGCAATTAAATTATTTTTTTAATTATCACGAGAGTTTGCTAACTAACGTCATGAAAAGTAGTGGCTTAAAGTTTGTTGGTGTTTATAAAATCGTTTGTTGATATTTCAAAAATATATATGTGAAGCTTATATATGTGTAGCTTATATTATTCAAAAATGAGTCCATTTAAATTTACTAATTAACATAAATGTTAAAGGAAGTGACAAAACTTTCTAAATATGCGCGTATTCTCCTTATATTTTTCACTTCTTAATATTTAAAGATCATAAATCTTGAAATACTCACTTCGAAATTGACAAAACATATCATAAAAATTTTATAAGCATTAAGCCTAATGAATAGCTTACTGTTTACAGTTCTAGTCTTTATTCTCTTGTAGGGATAATGCAACTAAAGTTGATATTTTTAATTAATGAAGAAATACGTTAATATTACACATCCCAAGGCATGGTATTAATTGAAGAGCGTGTGTTCCCTCAATAACTGCATTGTGTTAAGAGAAAGTGATAAAATGCGGTTATAAAAAGTGGGAAGATAATGACATTAATGTCCCATTCATCAATTGTTTTCTGTTCATTGCTTCCCCGACGAATACGTCACACGCATTGTCAGTCGCGATTGTTAGAAAATAATACCGTCTCACCTCCGACTCCCAGCTTTCTTTAGAGTTTCGCGTCTTACTCTCCTTCATGTTTCCAGAGAACGTCATATCTGTCCCTTGAGCGGCCGTTGCACTTTCGCACTGCAGCTTTATTCCTTGTACATTCGCTCGTGTCACTGGTCCACTGTACACAAGTTTCGTGGCACTTTTAACACTATCGCTTTCTGTTATGATGTTGCCGGATCGAGACGCGGGATGTAAACATTGTGAACACTACGCAAGTTTCACGGGCACAGGTCGCGCACGCTCGATGGGCCGGCGACGAGTGAGCCTAAACTCGTTCGTAGTGAAGTGAACGCGAGCAACCAGTACAGACTACAGTTAACTTTCTCTCAACTCGCGCGTCCATAAGTTGCGCACCATCGAAAGTCTCCTTCGCTATGGGTCAAAGCCTTCATTAATACCGCATTAGCAACATGGAAATGGGGAAATCTGCTCTTTTAGTAAACGATAATTCTGCTAAATTACTGTAGATATGAATACCATTTATATGGTTATATTTTGTGATGTTATTACTGTAAATGAACACACTATTAAAGATTGAGAAAATAGTGTTGTGTAGCCTAGAGGGTCCTATTTTGGAATATGATTTAAAGGACTTCGTTTCACGCGTTGTATTCAAACCATCGAAGACGTGGGTTCGATTCCCACAGCGGTAACAATCTTTTCGTATTTTTAATCTAAGTGTAGAGATTAGCCATATAAAAAAAATTACAAAACAGTATTTGTTTTGAGAGAGATGATAGCAAACGCCTTAACCACGTCCTTGGATTTCCGTAACACAGGAATGGCTGCAATTGTACCAGGCAAACGGCAATAATGTTATAAATATGTCTAAGTTTATTTACTTTATTTTTTGCTGGCTCATTTTTTCAGATCATTTCATCATTAAGGTATTTTATTCAAGCTTTAACTTACGGAACTTACCAATAAACGGACCGCTTTCTACCTCTATATACTAGTACTTTTACTGCGGGCTTCTAAGTAAAATAACATCACCACGTATTCTAGTTGTCTCCTTTACATGTATGGATCCAAATATATTTACATCAGAAAACGGGCTCTAGAAACTCTTTGAACCCACAACTTGGCGCATGGTAATTGGAGAAGTGACCACTGTAACCTTTGCGCCTTCCATCAATCATTGTTTATAAAATTTTGAATCATGTAAGTAATTAAGCCGTGATAGCTCAGTGTCTAGGCGCTCGCTTTCAATTTAATATACCCGTGCAACCTAACTTCAATTCCCGGCACAAATGAAATTGTAAGTAATGACTCATGACGTGCTCAACGGTGAAAGAAAACATCGCAAGGAAACCTGTTCATTTGGAAATAATAAAAAATAATATTTCAAAGATATGTGAAGTCTGCCAATCCGCAGTGGGCTTGCGTGGTGGACTATGCTCGTACAGAGGAGACATTTGCATAGATGTGCGACATATTATGTACATATTCTGTTTTAGTTTAAGTAATCTTAGTACATTCGTCAAAGTCATTCGAGAATCCAGATAACACTAAATATTAACCAAGGGGATACCCTTCTTCTATTAATGCTTCAAGTTAGTGATGTTCTGGATATCCGTATCCGTATCCACGTATATCCGTCGGGAAAAAAAGATCCGTATCCGTATCCGCTACATTTTTGACGGATCTTTACCCTTATAATCGTAATAAAATGATAATTCCAATTAAGTAAATTAATACACTGTGACACTAAGTGTTAACTTTTGTTTAAAACACAGTGCCAATTAAAGGAACGGTAAATTGTATTTCAAAAAGAGTAACTTGGCAGCTGTATCCCCCAAAAGTCATGATAAAAAATGAATATGTGCGACCAATATAAATATTTTTGGAAAACTTTTTACGTTCTCGAGTCCCAAACTAAGCAACGCTTGTACTGAGTACTAGAAAACTGATTAACATACATTTATTTTGTAAATAAATACATATTATAAATTTACAGACACCCAGACACTGGAAAAACATTATGTTCATCACAATATTTTTTAATCGAACCCCACTGGCGCAAGAGGCAGGTTCCCTACCTACTCCCCACGCCAATCGGGTCGTCAAGTCGTATGACTAAGACCAACAAACTTTTTACTGTTAATCTGCCGATACTTTAGTGGATCGTGGCTCTCTTGATAATCTTTTTTCTGACATATATGACGTATTAGATATTTTCATCATCATCACCACTATCTAACATGTTAGCTATAGAATCTTCTAGACTCTGGCAAAAATCATAGGTTTGTCCTTAGTACTTTTTGTAGTTGTGAGATTTAATTCATTTTCCAAAGTTGTAAGCAATTTTTTTATGACCCGTGGGCGTAAAAAAGCTACTTGAAACAATTTTTTTTATCAATTTCTGAAAAAATAAAATCTAATTATACCTTCAAATCATACAAAAAATCAAGGGCGGTGGATACACTAATATTGAGATTTTCCTGGATATTAAGTTACGATCCGTATCCGTATCCACGGATATTGACGCCAATGATCCGTATCCGGATCCGTATCCGCGGATCTACTATTTGAATGATCCGGCACATCACTACTTCAAGCACGCATGAATAAAAAAATCATAAGAAATTTGCTGAAACTTTTTGCATAAATATAAAAACAATATAAAATTAATATGTTCACATTAATTAAAATTTCAGCGTATAATAATCATTACATGATCGTATAATGTATCAAGAGAAAATAAATAATGAGCAGCTTTAACACTTTCCTACCCAAAATAGAATTGAAACTAACTACCACTAATAATTTATTTTGTACGAACCCAATGTTTTCATTAAACATGTTTTCGACTTAAATACCTTTTCTCAGTTTTACTCATTTTAGAATTAATAACTAAATGATATCCAAAACCAGTGAGTTAAAGTTTTGCATTGCAGAAAAGGAAAAATACGTAGACATTTTTTTTCGTAAAGCCCCTTGTTTAATGTTCGAGAACTATTGTTGGAAAGTTCTTTCGTACACTTCGAATGCCTATTATACATAGTAATCGAGACACATTGTTTCAGAGACTTATTCGCAAAATATAATCTCAAATACAAAACGACTGTGTAAGATAGGGTATACGATCTGTCTATTTTATAAATCATGTATCTACTCGTTAGTTAACAGATGGCATTTGCTTCGTTGGAGACCCTTTGTCGTGATTGGAGCAAGCATAAGACTGGAGATGAAACAAAAACCAGTGAGTATAAAACTTAATGTATAATCATAGTATTTACAAACTTATGTTATATAAAACAAATAAATTGTATGGCTATCATTATATACTTATTACAACATGTCATTAATAATTTACACGATTAAAAAAGCAACAGTAAACATATTACTGAAGATAGCAATTGTAATTTCTAATAGCACAAAAAGATATAAATGGAAATAAAAAGAGATTCCACAATTTACATAATAAAAATATATACAGTAGTTAAATGGGCGCTTAACTTTTGAGTTACCAATTTATTGTTTCTGCATCTCATTACAATAAAATGCCATGCTAACAATTTTTTTACATATTTACTAAAATTTTCAATAACATTTCTCTATTATCATTTTGAACTAGGCATAAAATGTGCTTAACACAGCATGTATCGTTTATTAAATACAAATAACATTTTTTTTTCAAAATTGTAATAAGTGAAAGTCGATTTCGTATATATTTCGCTACTAAAGAATGCGGCTACAATGGAACCCAACAAACAGTTATTTAGAAAATAATGCAATAATAATGCTAATTGATAGCACCATTTAGCATTCGACATATACTGCAAATTCACAAAAATGAAAACTGTAATGTACTTACTTAATAATACAAAAATTACAACATAAGAAAAGTCTTATCACATTTGTATGGTAATAAGTTATATACATAAATTGGGTGATGTACGACAAACATGTTTAAATCTAAGGTTTATTCTTTATTAAAACAAGAACGTCCGTGAAAAGAATAATAATAATTGCAAATCCAAAATAAGCCTTGAGTGAGGCTGATGAAAGTAAGGTGGCTAAAAGAATTTAGTTGAGCCTTAGATCTTTGGAAATCTGATTATCTTAATATAATTATATCGGTAATCATCTACTTTACCTAAGTTAACATTTTAATTGCAATTCTAACAAAATCATTTAGAAAAATAAGTCGTCATTTTGGCTTCCACTTTATTCTATAATGGAATGGTCTCAAAGATAACCATTAGGTATATCAACATCACTTTAGACTTCGATTTGAATACAACTTATGCATCAATTATTGCACGGACAAGAATTAGAGTTGTGCCATGTTTATGCCAATGTTAATTTATTTAACAGAATGTACCCATAAATGATTGATATGAAAATAACCTCTTCTACTCGTAAGTTGAATATAAAACACTAATGAATTTATTATCATAATTAACGAATTTAGATAAATTATAAAAAATGGCACCTTGTCGGAACAAAATAATGTTGTGAGAAATTATTAAACATAAACAATCAATTCTTTCACTCTACAAACTAAATAATTTCATGTTCGTAATGCAAACATTCACAACATCAAAACTTCAATATCCGCAATTAATTAAAATGTAACGAAATGGAAATCATGATCATTATTGCTCTAAACATTAAGTTAATTTGTAGATACAATCGTGGTTTCGTTATAAAATAACGTCTATACTGAAACGAATTAATCTCATAGGCGTATATTTATTTTAATTATTAAACCGCTACAGCTTTTACAGAACTTTAACCGTTATTAATTATTCATTAACTTGAAGGTTTCTTCAATCTTGAATTACTTAAATAGTCCCTAAGCTAGAGCGACAAGTTGATTAACAAGTTGTTCCCAGCACAGTTACTCGTCTGGTGTCTGTAGTCATTCATTTCTACACTTCCCTGTCCCGAGTCGATTCGCATTGAGCCTCACATTATGGCCACAATGCGTTTGTTATCAGCTGAATGTATAAGATGTGAAATATGCACAAATGAATAACAGTTCATCTACGTTACTCGCATCACCGTTTATATAATAATTGCATCAGAGATGAGTCAGTTGAGAACACACACACGCGCTGTAGTACTCTGTCTGTGCCTATTACAATACTGCTTTGGTCACCGCCCCTCCCTGTACTTATGAATTGCGTTAATGGACCATTCATCTATCATATCCAATCTCAAACGTCTCGCTCTCCTGTTTTCGCCGACAATTATCGTATTTCGTAACTATCAAGATTAATAAGTAAAGTATTGTGATTTTGTCCGCTTATAAAAATATAGTTTCTATATTAAACGATGCAAACAGATGTGATACAAATACATAATTTGAGGTAACACAATAACATTTTTTTATGAAAAGCTCGTATTCTATATTGGTACACTGGATGATTGTACAATTAATAAGTGCTATATTTGGTAGGTGCGGGGCCACGTGGCCTCAGTGCACAACAAACGGTGAACCCCAAAATCGATGTTCAATCTGGTCAAAACTGTAAGAACGTTAAAAATGGAAGCGGCCCGTTATAATGAATCGGAATAAAATGTTTATTGTTACATCGCACAGCAAATGGAAGCATCGCTAAACTAGTTACAAGTTTAATAGGAAGTAACAAGCAAAAGGTGGCACATTAAGAGCACTTAAGAAAATTACTTCACAAATATAACACGTATTAGTCCCTTTAACTACGTCAAACGTGAACGGATTTTTGTCCATGGCTCGAACGTTCGCCTTTGCGTTACGAACGTATCCTAGAAAGAATTAGTGAAAATCAGTGGTAGTATCTCGAAACGAGCGTAACCATGCATTTAATTAACTTTACATCCCTTCTCCTACCAAAAAATTGAAGCCCGATGTACTTGACAGGAAAGATTGCATTTCCAAACACTAATGAGCGTTATACAAAAATTCAAAGGACCCATTCACTAACGCCAACCATAAACAGGTCATGCGGAACCAAATAAATTAGAGGCAAATCGAACCTAGCTTAAATGACTACGTGGCTAAAAGCTAGCAATATAAGAAAAATAAATCACAAGTCTACGTAACCTCATAAAATGGATACGTCTCACACTTCCAATTTATTCACTCGGAAATCTCAATGAGCTTCAAAAACTCTAATCTCGACCATAATAATCAGTATCACTAACCTTACACGAAGGTCAATTCAAAGAATGTATAGGTACGCTAACGATACGCCAACTTAATAAAAAACTTTACCATAATCATAGTAAATTGTACTCGATATAACTACAATATTTATAAAAAAGTAGAATAAAACCAAAATTGCACACGCGGTACACGCTTACAAAAAAAAAATGTAACTTCGAAACAGCGGTATAATGTAATTTTAGAATATTCAACACTTTACCGATGCGTTGTGGTAATTTATTGCATACGAATCTTCCGGAGTTCGGAAGAAGTCAATATAAATACGTTTAAAAATCACAGGTGCGGCCACGTGTCCGTGGTTAAGATGTACACGTGCCGCCGCGGAACGGTGCAGAGCGTCGGTGAGTGGCAGTCGACGGCGACACGTGGCAGCAAGCATTGACGCGTGGCAGCCGACAGCAACGCGTGACAGCCCACGGCTGTGCGTGGCAGTCGACGGCAGCGCGTAGCTGCCAGCGACGAAGAGTTGCGGTGGGCAGCGGCCAACGCTAGTGGTGACGAGAGCCGCACTCAGCCACGCGGCCTTCCGCCACAGTCCAGTCCGGTTCTAAGGCACAGCCGTCATGGTCTATGGAATCTAAAAAACGGTCATATATATTAAATAAAAATATTACCATTTCTCTTTGGCCGCAGAGAATTATATTGATAATAAAGTATAATGCAGGAAATATTTGAGTATTTGTAATGGATTGTATTGGATTGGATTGGATTGGACACGTAAAAATATATATGTAAAAACCCACAAAATATATCGATATATATTGTAACATTATATCTCGATGACAAAATAGGAAATTTGAATACTAAAAAACAATAACTTAAAACTATTCGGATCAAAATAACATGAATATTAAAACATTTTTGCGTTTCCCTCTTTTTACACGTTTTCATCTTGTTTACTGACCTTACTTTATGTGGGTTACATCAAATAAGTTTACTTACGTCTATATACTAGGTTACTACGTGTATATACTGTGACAGGTATAAAGTAACATTAATAGAAATGCCCTCAATCAAAGAGTTTATTTTATTACACAAAATATTTTTAAAAAAATCCGTATTGAGGTCAATAAAACTGTTAATTTCAAATTTTATCGCTGATTCACCACCTCATGCTCAGCGATGAAGGAAAACATTGTGTTGTGACTATATCTCAGTAATAATTAACAGGAATTCGAATATAACATGTAAAGACTCTACCAATATTTTTGTTACATTTTTTTTGGTGTGTGCTTCCTTTTTTGGTAAATTTATTTATTTTCTTTCTTTCTTTCTTACCATCGCAACTCTTCTGCGGATTGTCAATCCGTAATAGGGTAGTAGTGGAATATGCCCCGATATTCGTTGTACTGGTGATGCTTCGCCCATAAGATAAATTATGTATGGACTAGTACCTAACTTAAACTAATATTATATTAATTCGGAATTTACACTTTCTCCTATCTCACTCTGATCACTCTGCCAACATTTAATTGATATCTGTAAAAATTAATCTAAATGGAAATCTTATAAAGACTGAAAGGTAATAACGGATTATAAAGATTGTTTTTTTTTTTTTGTTAAAGTACTCAGTTTTAGTGCTGACTGACGTGCTCAGCGTTGTAAGAAAACATAAAAACATAAGGCCAACACAAAAAATATTTCGAAGATATTATGTGAAGTTTACCAAACTATTTGCTTCGGGTACCCCAATGTTTTAAATAGTTGTAAATAACAATATTTTGTTTGCCCATCTTAAGTGTGTTCTTTATGCAAAGTATGTCTGGCTACGACAGTATATACAGCGTGTCGTTACCATCGCGACAATAAATGAACACACGTCTAACGCTACTTGCCAATAATAATAAAAAAATATTAACGTTAAACAAAATCCATAATTAAAAAAAAATATTTTTCAAACAAACTAATTAAGTAAAAAAGAAACAAAATTTGTAACATCCTATACAACTCGCGCCACAGCGTCGTATTACAAGCTTCTCCTTCTAACAGTATGTTTAGTCTCTTTTAAAAATATTCAACCCATTCATAATGCTTTGTGACCTTTACAAATGAACTTTACGTTACGCTTTTATAGGTAAGGGTGTTCTAAAATTCTGTTTTGAAAAATTTAATAACTCTGTAAATATTGATGTTTAAAGAATTTAAATGTTTAATACAACTTCAAAAAGTTATCCCCTATATGTGTGTTCATTTATTGTCGCGATGGTAACGACACGCTGTATAAGAATTGGTCTGCATTTGGTGTGTCAACTTTCCGAGTCCTGGATACATCTTTATGTGATTTATTATAATTATAATACCGTAATACCCTTTGTACAAAGGTGGCATTAGCCCAGCAGCGGGCCATATTCAAAATGTTCCTTTGCTTTATTTTTACTCAGCGTTCGGCACAGAAAAAAAAAATAAGCTAATAACTTTAATAACAATATGGTTCCGAAATGATGGAAATGATGTGCCGACCCCACCTAGTGTGGGATAAGGGCAGGAGAAAGGAGAAAGAAGAGGAGGTCGGCACAGACCTGGTGAGGTGCTTGCTGTCCTCGTGCACGGCCATCTCGGAGCTCTTGAACTCGTTGAGCTCGCGGCGGATGGCGGCCTTGTCGCGCGGCGTGAGGCGCGTCCACGGCTTGTCCGCGCGCCGGTCGTAGTCGTGCGCCTGCGATCTCAAACGATCTCACGTGAAACGTTTACAAGCGAGCGGGCGGTTGTGTGCGTATTTGGTGTGATACAATAGCTGCAACTACGACACAGGAGAGGAGTTTCAAATGCATTGCCGACCTTTAAAAACGGACCCCGTTTGCTTTACTCACCAGGCGAATCGCGAATGTATAATACATAGTAATTGTATTTTGTGTGAAAGGTCTAGGAGTATCTATTGAAGTTCCAATGAAAACATTGCTGTAGGATAAGATTATCCTGTGTTGTTCTTACAAACGTTTCACACATATAAATTTCACGTGAACTAATATCCAGATCCGAAACAATTATCTCTGGATCACAGAATAGTTGTCTCGTATGGGAATCGAACCCTAGGCATCTAGCGCCGAAGTTAATACCCTTGGCAACTGCGCCACGGAGTCATTTCACAGATCACTGCCTCCCATGGACGTCTACAACACCTTAGTAATGCTTTAAAAAGCGCGCCCCACTCACTTCGCTCAGCAGGCAAGATATGAAATTACAATAACTTCACAACGGCCTTCTATGAGATCGTGGTACTTCATTGGACGAGCCTGCCCAATCGTGCAACAGCAAAAGCTGATGCGTAGATCTACCATAATTTGCGTGGTAATATCACAGTTAGACGATTAATTTAGCAGCCGTTCTTAAAACCTTCTTTATCTAAGTGAAAGATACTATCAGTGTACGACCAATGGGTACATTAGTTTATTGTGAACGAACATTAACTGTTTACGTCAATTATATTCCCAATAGTTTGAATGCTGCTTCACCAGACTTCAAAATTATTCGAAAGATGACCTGTTTTAAAAACTATCACATGGTATAGACGCTGTCGTTTCGTCGATTAACAAAATATGAACCACCCACTACTACTAATTATATGAAGACGCATTTTAGAACCGTTTCGAATCTCTCTAAAATTGAATTACCGTTTTAAAACATGATTTGTTCAGATTGATAAATGTAATATATGTGTTTATTATGGGAAATAACATAATTTTTTTATGTGTCTCTCCTGTCTTTTAAAAAGTAGTTTTACCTACCTATAATTAAGGTACCTTTTCTTACTCATCACTTTTTTGCAAGCCTTGTTTATTTATTCTGCTACGGTACTTTGTTGATAATAAATAAAAATTAAGGAAAAACTGGATCGAGGTGGATTAACACAGTTACCGTGAGCCAAATTAGTAAGAAGGAATCAAGAGAAAGGATGAATTAAAATATTTATTAACCCCAATCTTCCCTAAACAGGCCTGATATCCTTTCATTAAATTCCAGCAATTAGCTCCGGCTTCGTGCAAGTGCAATTTCGGTTTGACAGTGAATAACCCCTTTAGTAGATGTAGTGACTGCCTCGAATAATTTCTTTTCTCTAACAAACATAATTATATAGTACTTACATATATATACGGAACGATGTTTATTTAATCTCTTCAAAAGATGAAAAAACTTTTGAAATGGGCACGGCATAATCCTGCACATACTCACAAAAACAAAAAAATACCCTTTCTTAAACATGTATGTACAGATAAGACTAATTAAGATTGTCGCTTACTCACGTGTCAAGTAATAATACGAATAGGGGTTTATATATTTAGATGCGTCTTTGAAATCCTTACGCACCTGCGTCACCTCGATGTAGTCGCTGAAGCGGATGATTTTCTTCTCCTTGAGCTCATCGACGGTGGGCCGGAAACTGAGCTTGCGCAACAGGTAGCGTTTCTTCTCCTCCTTCTGTTTCTTTTCCTCGGCGGGGGACTGACCTTCGGATAGAGATTAAGTTTAGCAGCCGTCGCTTCATGCGGCTCACGTCGTTTCGTGACGCGCGAAGGCTTACTTTTGAGTATATTCCTCTCGACGAGCTCCTCGGCAGTGGGACGCATCGACAGCCGACGGATGAGCCGGGCACCGATCGCCTCCCACGACTCCTGCCTCTCGTGCTCGCTCTGCACCACCAGGATGTTCCTGCGCAGAGGGCGTTCTAGATCAATATAAGCCCCGACATCGACCATTCCAAAACGGCGGCGGTAATAAAACGAACAGGATCGCAACAGACGGACGGTGGACCGATGCGCTAACAATAAAATCTCCCCGTTCGACCTGCGAGCGAGCTGCCAAACGACGGACGATAAAAAATTTGCGAACGCTCGCGCTGCGCCGAAAGCAACTTCATAATGTCCTATTAACGCTAATTCTTGGCCGATCACCAATACGCGAGTACGAACTTTTAATTACGATACACCAATAATCAAAAGATCGAAGAGATTAGCGAACGTTTACGAAAATTATACTGTTACGAAACGGGTTAGTGTGGCAATGGCACAAACTATAATGAGGCGGAATGCCAGTGTCAAGATCCCGCTCCGAGAAACAGGAAGAAGTGCAAATTCGACAACAATGCGCGACGATTGACGGTGCTGACGAAAATAAAACAACTACCTACCAGGCGTACATGACGCGTGGGCCGTAGTTGGTCTGTCTACTACACTTTAAATTAATACTTCACCGCTCTCCAGTACTGGATTTTTACATTTTAAAATGTATCCCTAGTATGACCCATAATACTTGTTCGAGTTTTAAAAATCAATCTAAATTTGATAATTAGATCTAGCCAATACCAAATCTAGACTAGCACAACTGAAGGACGCCTGTTAGGTCCCCGATGATTTGTGTAATAAGGTTCCTTCTTCTGTTTTCAACAGTTTTTGCCTCGAGCGTAACAAAGACTAAAAAGTGGCTACCCCATCAATGGCACGGAGAGTCTCAAAAGAAAAGAGTTGGGTTCAATTGAATTTAATTGCATTAATTCCCGATTGCCACATTAAGACAAACATTCGGAGTGTAAATTAGAATAATTTTTCCTCATCTAAGCTACAAAAATTTGAAACGAAAACGAAAGACACAAAATGCCGAATGGAAATTTGCATTTAGCAAAATTTGCAAGGAATTTCGTCGGTTGTCACATACCTATTTATTCTTTGAAATATTTAATTATGTTACTTTGTACACTAGTTTATAGGTAAACAGACGTTGTTTATTGACACTTTCTTAAAATATCTAATTGCATTGTTGTGTATTTGTGAACGAAGAGTTGTGTATCCGAACGTTGAACGTTAAAAACAAACTGTAGGCTTATAAATATGTTCGATGTGACACTGTCCCTCTAGATTGGATTGCTCGCTGGTGGCCACCGAGGTCTGCTGCCAACTAGCGACGAACGGCCACGGTACATAACGGCGCGGGTATTTATAAGCGGATGGATCTGCGCCGAGCGACGCCTCAGTGGATCGCTTAATGCCGCAATAAATTATGTGTACTGTAATGCTACTGGCTGTTATCATCATTTTGTTATAATGGAAGAAGAATTTTATAATTATAAAATATAAAATATTGTTATATTTTGATTATCAAACGTTGGTACGATACGTTCATGTGATATTTTAACAGGATTACGATATATTGAGAGCATTAGAGAGTATGCCCCGAATATGAAATAAACTAAGCAAATCTTTTCCTATGGAAACTAGGTAACTGATAAATATACTTGAACATTTTTTGCAAATAAAACATATTTAAAGGTATATAAACAACCAGACACTAGAAAAACTGCTCATCACAAAATATTTTTCCCCGCTTGCGCAAGAGACAGGTTAAGTATCCACTACTATTGTGTCATTTTAAATATCGATATATCGTATAGTGCTTTATCGATATTATGAAGTATCGTATCGTATCGGGCATCCTTAATGCGACGCCCGACTGTTGCGCAATACCGCGTGCGTTAAATTACTATTTACTAGCGCAGCGTTGACGCGTCGCTCAAGGTGACACGATGATTTCACGCCCAGGGAGCGCACACACTACGGGCCGAAGCGAACAAAAAATATCGCGCCCCATATATAACTTGTTTAGCGTTTTTCAGGGCTGTTAACCGTCGTTTCGTTGGTCAGACTCAAGTATAAAAATGTCCGAAACGAATACACGTAAAAAATACTGATTTATTTAATACTAGTGAGCCTCCCAGGCTTCGCACAGGTGCAATGTATTATACATATGAACCTTCCTCTTGAATCACTCTATCTAGTAAAAAAACCGCATCAAGATCCGTTGTATAGTTTTAAAGATCTAAGCATACATAGGGACGGACAGACAGACAGCGGGACGACTTTGTTTTATACTATGTAGTGATGCACAGCAGAGAGATGTTTATCTTTCAAGTAACATTTTACCACAGTCACTCACTTGTTTTGCCTTCCCGGAACCCCTTCACTAACACTTAAACTTTATGGTATGGTATTAAAGTTCAAATTGACTTATTTATATATATAAATATTCTATATTATATTCTTTGTGACGTATAAAATATTATAAATAAAGTAAAGAACCATAGCTCAACGTAGTTCAACATATATTATATATATTTTTAATAATAGAGGTAACTTTAAAATTTTAATGGGAATTTTTTATTTGTTATTTTTATTACCCATAAAATGAACGAATGACTGACTGCAACACGAAATGGTCTAAATATCGCTGTATAGCACAAATAAAGTAATTATCTTCCGACTGCAAAGTATATTTTCAAGGGGATTATTACTGCAACTTCTCGTTATTATCATTATCAGACCCAAAATGACACTACGCCAAATCGCTGTCATTAGCTCAAAGTCGCTCAGCGAGCTATGGAACAGGTTGAGCTTAGTATTTTTCTGCATGACAGACATGATAGATTTCGCAACGAAGATATCCGCAGTAGAATAAATTGACATTGCTCAGGAGATCAGTAAACTGGAGTGGCGATGGGCCGTCCATATAGATCGATAACCGATAGGGCAGAAAGGTTCTTGAGTGGTAGCCTCGTACTGGCAAAGTGTAGGACTACCCCCACTAAATGCGAGTAACGACCTGAGTCGATGGATGCAGATGGCAGGATCGTGCTCCATGACACCCTGAGGGGAGGCCTATGTTCAGCAGTGGACTCTAACAGATTAAAATGATGACGATAATGAGAAAATATTACCTAAAAACATTTCTTAATGCGGAGCTTAGTTTACAGCGATACCTTAAAGCGACAACATGCAGTCGCTTCGCAACCAACTTCATGGTCTTGCCACGGCGACCAATAACACCTTTTTGGCATTTACCTACAATTCCAAGTTATTTAATTAAACCGTCATCAATTGCGTTTAAACTTTTTTGTACACGGGATAACTCCTCATGTTATTTTCCTTTTGTTACGCTAACGAAGTATAACTTCTTTTTCTATCGTACGGCTCACCTGTTGATCAGCTCCTGGCGGTCGGGCCGCAGCGCCAGCTTGATGTTGAGGCTCTCCTTGCGCGCGAGCTTGGCGGCGACGCGTTCCGACTCCGTCGCGTAGTCGTCGCGGTACTCGTCCCAGGGGCGGGCGTTCTCCTTGTTCTCCGCCGCGTTACCCACGCGCACCGGCCGGCTGCTGCGCACCCCACAAGCACAACGTCACCACACCGCCACCGCGCAACTTGAGCCGCCCGCCGTACGTGTGTGCGTACGTGTGCGTACGTGGCGTCCGCCGTGCGCATGTGAGCCCGGCGACCGAGTTCACGTGTGTGTGAGTAGGTCCGTCGCGGGGATATAGCCCATATAGCTTTTAAAGTGTCGTCGAAAACCGTTACGGCAACGGATATGCCTAACGAAATCCTAATGATTTCTTTCCAATTGTCAAATGATACAAATAAACATAAACGCAGCTGAGATAAAGCTTTTAGCGTTCTTATTAGGACCGCAGTAGGTCAGTGGGCACGCTGCTCGGAATAGAACATTCCATTTTTTTTTATTGGAAATGAGACTGTTCGGTGAAGTTAGATACGCAAACGTGCGTGACGCGGCCGTGCCGAGTCACGGTTGCGCATCGCGATACGCCAATTACACAACAAATCTGATCTACAAGCAATGAATAAAATTTCGATATCAACGGAAATAGAAGAATGAAAAGAACAAAAAAACAATGCGTCTAGATTTCAATTTGGAATTCCGCAGGAAATATAACATCGAGCCGTCGCTTATTTTTAATCAAACGGTACACGTGCATGCAACATTGAGCGGTATTAACATGTAACAGCATTAAAAAGAGCGGTAATCATTCAAATTCTAAACTAAACATTAGTTATTGCGGCAGTCGTACAAAGTGTTACAAACACACATTTCCGAGACGTCGACTTTTGCTCGTTTGCGGTGTGAAATTAGTGAAAATGTTTCACCGATCAACGATCACTGATCGCGGTTCGGATGTATTGGTTTCGGGTCGAGTTATTGGGAGGTATGAGTTGGAAGCGTGCGATGCACGATGCAAGCGGACCGTCGGGAGGTCTCTGGGCGATGGCGTATCAACAACATTGACAAAACTTGTGGGGCTGTTACCATATGCGGATCCTCGGTTTTGGCGGCGGCCGTCTGCTAGGCAGCGCATGGTGAAAATAAACGCACAGATTTCACAAACATGCCCAGAAAATGAAATATAATTTGTGTCTGTCGCTTGTACAACACAAACTTTGTTACATTCGTCGTGTATTATGTTCGTAGCTCTCGAGTTTTGTTACGTGAGAAGTTATTGTTAAAACTCGTTAAATTCTATAGATAACTATGAGAGTATGTATTCAAATTACGTCACAGTTTCAGCTGTTACTCTTAAAAATTTAGAACTATTAGTAATATATATAATTTAATAAGTTGAGTTCAAGTAAGCATTTCTGCATGGATAATTTTGAAGTTGTTGAAATATTAGTTTCTTTAGTAAGACTTTAGTAAACAAAAAGACCTACTTTCGATAGAATCCAGACTTCGAAACCCATTTAATAACAATGCCAAAAGGTAAAACCAATTGGATAAAATGGTCCAAACTTTAAAAATAATTCTAATATCATTTAAACGAATTTACAATAACATGAAAGTGTCGAGTCAATATTATTATTCGAATTAGGCACATCATTTTCTAGCTCTTCTTTAATATATGGTGCCTTACTGCCATCAGTGTTCTCTCTCTCCTTTCTACTGAAAGCCTATTGCATTGATTGCGCAAAGAACAATGCCCATTTTTGACCTGATTATGTATAGAAGTGAAATAAATATTAAAATTTAGCTAATTTCATTTTATAGTAATTACACTAATCACAATGTTAAAAGAAGGTCGGGAAAAAAATATTTTTTGATATTTCATAACATATTACCATGTTTTGAACGCACCTTAGCAATCCTTTGCATAGGACGTTCCATTTTTCACACTATCTACTTGACTGCATTCAACTTTTTCTGAGTTTTGTACGTGATTTTACGTTTTAGAGAAGTGAGTAAGCACGTAATTAACAGTAAATTGAATCAAATAAAATAGTAAATTATTAATGCAGCATGTAATAAAGTTCGCACGGCTGACGTAAATGGATTTTTTTTGACATTTGACAGTTCTGCGAGTGACTCATACTCATCGGTATTCGCCAATAATTGTGAGTATTTATGTTTATTATTTTTAATCTAAAAATGTCAATCATGTCCTAATCAAACTAACAAAGCTCCTATAAATTATACCTGTGACATAATACAAACAACTGTTCAAAAGATCTATATATCCAAAATATGTATTATAAACTCAATATACGTTTTTTTTTATTTCAGATTACTGAGGAAGATTACATTTGTAAATCTTGTAATGAACTCTTTATGAGAAGAGTAAACCAGGAATTAACAAGCTGTGATCTTGCTCAAGCTCCAGGATTATCTCAACCAAGTCGAAGAACACAGTTTTTGATAATCCTTCAGAAAAGCAAAGACAGATAAATGCTATTATACAAACAAGTTCACAACATCACATATTCATGTTTCTACATTGTTAATCATTTGCCAGTATAAACTTGATACTATTACTCTAGATTATTTCTCTTTTGTATTTTAGATGTAAATTATTATATCTGTTATTAATTGACTGCTGCTGTAATAATTTTAACCATAAATAAATATATAATTGTTTTTTTTTAAATATTTTTTTAAGATGAATAATAATTATTGCTTTATTACTTTTGTAGATAGTTTTCTTTTGTAGATATCATCATCTGATAGAATATGCCATTCATGCTGGATGAGTTGTAAGAGTGCTGCCACACATATTAGGCATGTTGCTGAAGTTTGTGGTGTTTCTTTCTACTACTGAAGATAATTTATTTTTTATGTTTCTGAGATTAAGTTATTAGTGAACTTATACTATTTGCATTAAGTACCAAATAAGGCAAGCCAAATCCTATTATGGCGAACATATTCGCTTTCATGGATCATATAGAATAGAAATATGTAGGGACACAAAAGTTTTCTAGTTGTTATAACAGAATTTCTGGATAACATAGTTATAAGACATTTAAGTGAAGATGATGATAATTAATAAAGCATTCCACTGTAACATAGTGTTTTATTTTTTCCCCCGTTTTATTCATCAGGTATTATAATTATCGATTATTATGTATTGTAGTGCAGGCCAATGAAATGTGTAGGGCAGATAAATGATCACTTTTAACTTACGTTTTTTTTAGTAAGTACTTATGTGAGCTGTTGAAACAGCAGATAATGCTCTTCACTCAATTTATAGTGACAATAATCGAGTCTAAGCAGTGACGTAAGGGCAGTCGGTTTCTAGGAATTCACAAATATAATAATTACAATCTTATTTTCTTTGTTCTAGGTAATTGCTATAATTATGTAAATTTGTTTAGATATTCTATATATAAAAATATACATATTTAACATTCATAAAATCATTCTCTTCATCATTTCATTATAAAAGTTAGGCAAAAATAAACAACCAGAAGTGTTCATTGGCGTATTCATTGAAAACCGCCAAAAAAGAAAAGAAGAAGAAGAAGAATTCACAAGTAAAAAAGAAGTTTTAGACCTTAGCTAATATTATTATTTTAGGATAAACTTGAGCGTAAATAGTTAGTTCTAGCACATTTATTTCGTTATATTAGGTAACTGCAAATCCTAACCTAAAAAGTAACATTTTTTTATAATTTTTGGACTTCGTAGACCAGCAATTGTAAAAATGACTATATGATATTAATTTACTAACTTAAAGGTAGTCTTTCTGCTATACCTTGTAACTATACATACACTTTCATTATCAGGTTTTTAAATGTATGGGAAGTGGGCATTGTTCTTTGATTACGAAACAACAATCTCTCTTTCTTTCTGCGTCAAACTCCAATGGGCTATTAGCTAGTACCCAAAAGGGATGATGACATATATATACAGCGTGTCGTTACCATCGCGACAATAAATGAACACACGTCTAACGCTACTTGCCAATAATCATAAAAAAATATTAACGTTAAACAAAATCCATAATTAAAAAAAAAATATTTTTCAAACAAACTAATTAAGCAAAAAAGAAACAAAATTTGTAACATCCTATACAACTCGCGCCACAGCGTCGTATTACAAGCCTCTCCTTCTAACAGTATGTTTTGTCTCTTTTAAATTCATTGAACCCATTCATATGCTTTGTGACCTTTACAAATGAACTTTACGTTACGCTTTTATAGGTAAGGGTGTTCTAAAATTCTTTGTTTTGGAAAATTTTATAACTCTGTAAATATTGATGTTTAAAGAATTTAAATGTTTAATACAACTTTAAAAAGTTATCCCCTATATATGTGTTCATTTATTGTCGCGATGGTAACGACACGCTGTATATTCCCCCATATTCCGTCTCTCTCAGTCTACACCTGACTCTAATATGACATAAACTAGTACATAAAGCGTTGATTGCGCAAATTCGTTTGCGAAACAGCACTCTCATTCCGTCTCTTTCATTCTGCATTCGACTCAAGTGCCATCTAGTACTCATTCTGTCTCTTTCGCTCCCTGCCTGGCCCCACTGGGAGGTTAACCCGTACTGACTTGAAGCTGGCGTGGTGGTGGTCCTGGCGCGGCGCGAGCGGCGTGGCCAGGGGTGTCGCGGCGGGCGAGGCGGCGGGCGCGGGCCGCTTCTTGAGCGCCGACTTGAGCGGCACCGCGTTGAACAGCGGCTCCTTGGGCGGGATCTCCTCGACCCGCGACGTGTCCGCGCTCGGCGGCTCCGCATCGTCGTCCTCCGGCTCGTCATCCTCCTCGGCTGGAATCGGACAGGGCTCGTGTACAGTCGCGTTCACGATGACTTGTTACAGTGCCGTAAGAAAAAAGTCGCTGCTACATTATATCTAAACAATGTAGGTACGCGTTCAGAAAACTGCATATTAACCCTATTCGAGACTGTACACATCACCTTGTGGCGGATGAATCAGAAAGAGAATTATTCTTTAGCGCGAAGGAGAGAACAACACTCACCTCATGAAAGCCTCGTTTAGCATTTTCAAAAAAATACTATGTATTTATATGCCTACTTCTCTGCACTGCATACGGATTAAGACGAAAATCCAAAGCGCATAAAAGTTATGTTTACCTTATACACTGAGATTAATGAAAAAAAATACGAACAACGGGCGTGTATACTCGCGTGCACCATTTTCCATTTTATTGTTAAAAGACAATTGTCTCTATGCGGATACTAAACTTAAAACTAGACACTAAAGATTGAAATATTTAACTATATTAACTGGCGGCCACGACTTTACCGTCATTCATATGCTTAATAGAGATATCTAGAAAGTTTATATATTTGAAAAAAAAAACATACTTAGTAGGCATGTGATCTCGCTCTGCCAAAAAACAAATCTAAATACGTCCCTTTGTTTTCTTTAATAAAAGAATAGTCCGGAAATTTCATACCAATTTAATAGCATCACATTAACAATAATAGATAGCAATCAATATTGAATGACTAATTCATCTGTCACCCAAATATTGAAAGCAATTAAGTCCGTTGCCAATTTTAATCATATTCAAAATAGCTACAGTTGTAAAGACATACCTATTCTGGATAGTCATAACATTGTATTAGTAATAAAACTTGTAAAATGGAAATAACACTGACTTAATCGATGACGAAAGTTAAGGTTGTCGATGTTTAGAAAAAATTTATAATACGTTATCAGTAAATCTTTACATATGTCCAGTTTTTGGTTTTTATGAATCTTCACATGTATTTTACCTAAGATTCACATCAGCTGTATGTTTTTGTGTCTGTGCCAACTCTAATTAAAATGGCCTGTATGTGTAATTTAAATAACTGTCGCCCGGAGAAGTACCACGACTTGACAGGAGACCGACGTGAAGTGTAAATGTTATACTTTGCGTTTCGTTTGGCGAGTGAGGTAGCGGGGCCTACTTTATGAAAAGGTGCCAACGCTTCTGCACCCCTACGGGTATTGCAAATGTCCATGGAGGGCGGTTATCATTAATTTTTTTTACAAAAAAATAACATTGCCCTTACTGTAGGATAACATTAACCTGTGTTGTAAGAGCGTTTTACAACATAAATTTCACGTGAACATACACACAAATCCGAAACAATTATCTGTGGGATAACGTTTGTCCCGCGTGGGAATCGAACCCACGACCCCCGGCGCTGAAACCAATACCTTGACAACTGCACTACGGAGTCACTTAACATCAGATGAACTGCCAGCTCGCTTGCCACATTCTCTAGTGAAAAAACTATTTCAAAAAGAATCTCACACACTTAAATACACAATTAAACGGTGAACTTTAACAACGGTTACAATCTCATCGGACTGTCGCTGTAACATTTAATGTCGATAGTTGGACTGACGTAACATACAAAGATTTTCTACGAAGTTGATTTACGTTGTCCACATTGTCTGTGCAATGCGAACATTGACTTTGCCACTGTACGACCGCCGTGTTCTCGGTCGAGCTCTGAGCATCGGTAATTACGAGTCTCGGTACAAACGTAACGTGAGATGCGAGCATGTGCTAATTATGGCATGATATTGGCTTTTGTCGACAACGATACGCCCACACATACGTTTAATTAAAAATGTAAAACAGTCCCTTTAATGTATTTGGCCAAACCTCCATTTCAATATACATATTGCGTTAATACAAACATCTTTGAACTCTAAGAATTAAGCGAAATGTTAATTATATTGGGGCATACATTATAATGTATGTATTATCTAAAAAAAATTCGCCAATAACAAACTATATATTGAACGTAAGTCGAATGTCATTATTTGTAAATCTGTCAGAAGCTCATTAGATATTTAATGTTTCTCAAGAAAAGTTATTAGTAACTCTTCTAATGTATGTATGACATGGGTTTATACGATAAAATATAACGTTACTCAAGTATTCGACGTTAATGTTCCGTCAATTATAATCCATAGTACTCTACGCAACTAGATATGTCTACTCAAATATATATTCTTTTAAGGATTCGTATTTCGTAAGTTGTTGTGATATGTATAAGTCACGATGGGGTTGGCGTATCTTTATAGATAAAAACCCCATAAAAATAGATAATAATAAAAAATAAAGATAATAAAAATAATAAAAAATAAAAAAAAGATATGTCTACTCGTGAAGACGGGGCGGGCAAAAAGTAGTTGCGTATCAGAAACTTACAGTCGGAGAGGGTGTGGTGGGCGAGCGCGTGCTGGTGCTGGTGGTGGTGGCGCGTGGGGCTCGGAGAGCTGAACATCGGCGGCGGTGGGATGGGCCCGATCTCCGACACCGCTATCGGCGGCTCCGGCAAGTCCGACAGCATCAGCTGCTCGTTGTCGCCTTCGCCCACGCCGCCATAGCCGCTCACTTCGGAAAACGACACCGTTAACGACGACAATTTACCTATATTTTTTTATATATGTCCATAGTTCAAGATCCAAAACCAATGAAACTAATGATTAAAATTAGTTCATAATTACGAGTTCTGAGGTAACAAACGAGAATTGAGAACCTCCTTTTTTGTAGTCGTTTGAAAAAAGCTGGCGATCACTAATCCGTATACATTCCGACGAGCGCCTGGGCACCACGGCTCGGCTAATGAAATTTTAGTTAATGTAGCTTGATAAAACTTGTACACACGTGGTTTTTTTAATTTCAATTCCTGAGAAAACGATGGAAACTAACAAAAAGAGAGTTCTTCCAGGGATGTGGACCACCACTTAGTGTGAGGGGTTTTTGGTAACCTTATTAACCGGACAAAACGGAGAGTTACTCTTAATTTACGCTGTTCTCTATAGGTCGTTAACCATGACATTAAAGGTTATTTTAACCTCATCTACAAGTAAATAAAAAAATGTATTGAGAAAATAGAAACTTTTTACGACTGTTGATATTAAACACGGCAACCGGCATAGACTTCCTTTGCCCTTATGGTTTATTCACAAAGGTCAAAGTTCTGCATAGCGCAGCTTACAAATGTCAGACCGGTCATAAGTATGACCCTGACTGTATTATAAATATCTTAAGTGTGACCTTGCTGACCTGATCGTAAAAAGTCCGGAGCCATAAGGTCTCCTTTTGTTCTTTCACAAACTTGAATCAAAATTAAAAGTAGTTTTTGTTTGTAAAGATATGCTAAGCCAAATTTAAATATTTAAATGTACTAATAAAACCGGTAGTAGTAGTTGGAAAAGTTTAAGTAAGAAGATTGTATAATAATTTCAGTTATTGTTCCTTGACGAAGGACTTACTTAATCAAATAAACTTGTTCATGCTAACTAATGGAACGATGAATAACTTAGTGTATATTCGGTATACGGATTTAAATTATATTTTTGTCACATGCTCATACCTCATAACATTTGTGACGCAAGGTTCGTTGAAGTTACGTTGTTTGACAAAATTATTTTACATATAGGTACCACAGAAATTTAATATAATTACATAGCAGCCAAAAATAAGAATGTAATACCTTCCCAATACGATTAATTTTAAGAAATCATAAATAAGAGATATTTGTCTCATTATCTAAATTTAATTAAATTTCGTGAAGCATGCGGTATTGCCAAAGCCTAATTAGAACCAACGTATCATCTATCAACACCATCTTGGCGATAAAATATAAAAACTGAATCTACGCGCCAATGTTCAATCAACGACGCAGTTAGAACATTATAACCACGCTTTTTACTTGTAAATATTAACGCAGTAAAGAGTACATCTGCCACAACAATATACTAATTAAAGCAACAATGTGATTTTGCACGTAGAAGATGATGAGATATCTCAGGAAAAATATATTACAGTGGGAAAAACCGCACACAGATATCTCGCAAGGTTATACACGCATAAGTAAATAATAGCAGGAAATCTTTTTACGGCGGGTACTTACCGTCTCCCTGATAACATATTCGTCTAGGAAGCTTGCCTGCCGTTAAGGAGTTCGGTCGCTCGGGCCTAACTAGTTCGCCACCGTTTTCCAATTTGTCTTTCTTTGGTTCTGAAAAGAAAATAATATAATAATTCCAACTATAACAACGAACCTACTATATAATTACATAACAAAAAATAAAAATAAGAAAAATAATTAGTTTTTCTTTTATGTGAAAGTTGCCATACGAGCAGACGGTTCACCTGATGTTAAGTGAATACCGCCGCCCATGGACATCTGCTACACTCGAGCGAGGGTTCCAGATGTGTTGACAACCTTTTGGAAAATGGGCTCTATTCACCTCACTCACCAGACGAAACGCGAAAGTATTATACTTCCACTTTCTGTGAGGTCGTGGTACTTACCCGGACGAGCCTGCCCATTCGTGCAACAGAGGCTGCTGCGTGACTCTACCACCGTAAAATAAAAGATAGAAAAATGTAATTAAAATTTTTGTCAAGTAGCGACTGCGGTTAAACACATAACATGATTATATTTCTATTACAGGCTTTAATCAAGTAGCCGTGAACTTAAAGCCCTCGAAGACTTGATTTTTATCAGGCATTATAAATCGCTAAAATTTAATTAAATTGAACCGAGAAATAAAATCGAAGATATTTGTGAACCAGTCGTTGTAACGGACTATTTTCTTTAAAAATAATGTGTTGTATTGCGTTGCTTTGGTGGAACATCCATTTTAAAAAAATGTAGTTGGAATCGTACGTGCCATTTGTGGTCTTTAGTACGATATGGTTAAACGATACTGGTAGCGGATAAGCTTAGCTTATACCGATCGGCTAGTGTTTCACGGAATACGTAGAACGAAAGCCGACAGTCAACACGGTTTAAAACAAAGAAACTTTATAATTGAATTTAAAAACGCGCTACGTTGCAAAATCCATAAACATTCGTAAGACCAGATGGGAATGTTTCTCGATAATATCGCTTAAATTTAAAACCTTGATAAAAAAAATCGATGCGATAGTACAGATACAGTACGATAAAGAACGTGGTGAATGGGCATAGTAATTATTGCAAAACAAGTGGTTCGTCAGCAAACACGTGATATTTGCTGTCACTCAACTTGGTTTGATTTACACGGTAACTTGTTTATTTATTTTTTTTCTTTAAATAGACCCGTCTGTCTTCGATACGAGATATAAAATCCCGGAGTCCTATTTTCATGCCATGAAATTGTTTCATTCAAATCGGCGCAAAGCCAATCATTAATCATTTTCTTTTAAAAACATAGTATTTGAGTAAGATACCATGATAGTTACACTCAAACATGTTTTGAAATGACATATTTACTATTTTTTGTTCTTTATAATATTTTAGAACAACGCAGACCGTTCGCTAGTTCCTTCGAATAATTATGACACTGAACAATTAATGTCAATTAATATTTTTTTCAAATTGAAAAGTCTCTTTTTTTTTCAACTATATTTGTCAAAAACATTATAACCCATTTTAGAAACATTTTTTTTTTCGCACGGTAATATAATAATAACAATTCATCTTAAATAATAATAAATAAAATAAATATTTCTATGCGTCAATAAGTATTTGTTGTTATTTTTTAAGAACAACGTTTGAAATTAAGTCTCTTCTTTTTTTCAACTATATTTGTCAATAGAAGGCATTATAAGGCGGTTTTAAAAGAAGAATTGGTACGATTTTTTTTTTCTGAAAAAATCATTATTCATCAACTACAATAACAATTCATCTTAGCCATTAGCGGCAAACATAGGCTTTATTACGGTGTATTAATAATTAAATTCGATGAAGAATTATGGATGTTCTGACAAAAAGCGCCTTTGATTACTAATATACATATGTATAAGGATAAATAAAGTTGTAAATATGCAATATCGTTATAGAAAATATATAAAATCGCAGTTACGTGCATTATCCGAACACGCGTTGTTGTCTCGGCGCGTTCATATATATCGTCGCAATTTCGCGTTTCTCGCTATATTCGTTATGCTTCGTGACCGTGCGATATACTTAGTAAAACGTTAACGGGCCTGCGGTAAAAGCGTCTCAGCGCGCGAGGCACATAGACCGTTTATTAATAGCTGATAGGCGAGAGTGACGAGCGGGCGCCACGCGATTCCCATTCATCTGCGGCGCCGCCGAACGCCCGGCCCGGTGCGGAATTCCATCAGACGCCTTGGTCGGAACATCAGGTCACGAGTCCCTTGGTCTGAACATCACGACACGAGTCCCTTGGTTTGAACATCACTACAAGAGTCCCTTAGTCTGAACATCACGACACGAGTTCGATACGCGGACGGTCTCTCTACAGAGTGTTGTTTTCAAAAGTTTTGCTGCTAAAGTTTTCGCGTGTTGCGCAATACGTGTCCATGGATAGAGTTTTCAATAATTGTTGGTTCGCGTGAAGCAACAAGAAATCGCTTGCAACTAGCGCTGCAGGTTTTCATGGCCCATTGCTCAAGTGTTGTTGCGGCATAGAACAACAAATACGGCGGGACGTAAATTGTAAATGGGCGTGGTTAAATTTAAGTATAAGGTTAAAAGATAAAAACACGTAATGAACGGAGATTTATGTGTATGCATTTATAATGAACTCTACAACTTAACATGGTAAAAAGATATTTATACGGTTTAAATATATTACCTTTAAATATATTATTAAGTAACAAATATATAGACGCCAAAAATTAAAACAATACAGAAATCGCAACTTATATGCGCCCTGTACCTTACGACTGTTGTCGTTTTGGAAGTTTTTTTTAAATTTGAGAATGTGACAAGCGAACTGGCGGTTCACCTGATGTTAAGTGATAATTGTCGCCCATTGACATTTGCAACACCCGTAGGGCTGCAGATGCGTTGCCACTCTTATTAAAGTGGGCCCTGGCTACCTCACTCACCAGGCGAAACGCAGAAAATTATTTAAAATGTAACATTTATTTTTTACATATTATATTATTTGCATTTTATTATTTATGCCAAAGAAGTACAACTTCTAAATAACTAAAGTTTAACTAAATAAAGTTTAACTTTCCAACTTTACGCCAAGGTATCGGCTTCAGCGTCGGGGGTCGGGGGTCGTGGGTTCGATTCCCACACAGGACAACTATTAGTGTGACCCGCAGATAGTTGTTTCGCATCTGGGTGTTTTTCCGCGTGAAATTTATGTTTGTAAAACTTCCTTACAACACAGCATAATGTTATCCTAAATTAAATTAAAAAAAAAAACTTTTTTATGAGAGTACAACATAATGTCTCACACACTACACGATACATCGTGAGTGAATAATATTATAATCCGGCATCGCCTTTGCGAAGATCAGTAGTAATGTTTGTGAAACAAAGAACGGGAAGGTCGTTGCGCGAAAGCGTCAGAGGCAGGAGGACCGCCGCAGATGCGATCGATTCGGTCGCCCTTGGCCAAGCCACCCTCTCTCAGAGGTCATTTGCTGAGGCGTTACGTAAGATAGTTGATGCTCCTAAACAGCTATCGTAAACTCAGAGGAACTTACACGCGTCTGACTCTACGTATCGTACTATACTTCCGGAAAGATGTTGACTCACGCCACGTTTGGTCTATTACAAACTAAAGAATTCGCTTTTTATATACCTTGATACAGGATGTAATCGCACAAACATGAACGTGACACACCACCGTCATTGTTTTCGGACAACAGTGACATTTAGCGATAAGAAAAAAAACATACGAAGCTTATCGTCGCCCTAGCAGTGATGACGCTGTATGTAAAAAATGTCTGGGCTCAAGGATAGAAGTGTGCCGTACGGCGTTAGCAATACAATGTCAAGATATTTAGTTGGCAGCGCGCACAGAGTGCTCGTCATTCTGCGTAAAACGACGCGAAACAACCGCGAACCCGTTAAAAATACTCGCCGTACAATGAATACAGAGCAGAGAGAACATTCCGCCTGTTTACAACCGTCTGATAAGTTCTTTAATAACCCGATCACGACCGCACTGGCACCGCTCCGGGATTCCGCTATGAGAAAACTTCAAATGTAGGCGCAGTGAGATCGTCACGAAACATGCTTAGCTAAAAGTAACGACCACAGTTGCGTTCCAGTTTTATAGTGAAAACAGGAAAATTCTTTGATAATAATAGCCGTTATTAAACTGTGTTATCTCTTATTTTAGTACATCGTACATTAAAAAAGAATCAAGAGGTATACTTTAATAAATGAACTTAAAAAATTTTCACTAATATTCTTTAAAATAACACTTACTTGTGTATAAGGAATCATATAATGCGATGGTAATACTTTAGATTATGCATTTGGATAGAAAGATTTTACACTGTGCGTGTTTCATTTGTTTCGACATCTGTATTGTGTATTAAAATGTACTGTATAGTGTAAATAGAAATTATTGTTAGATAACCCAATGTTATCGAACCTAAAATGTTATTTACACTGCGAAAGTAATTCTATACTCCCAAATGTAAAAGGCACAATGGGTTTCAAGGATCAATACAGGTAAAAGGCCCGCGGTCACTGCGGCATAATCCTACAAACGTGTCTATTATAGTAAAAGTACCATCGAATATATACCATATTTATGTCCCATTGCTTTGCAAAGGCATCCTCTGTGCAGAGAGTAAAAACTCTGAACTTTTGGTTCTGGGAAGTTGATTTCGATTTGAATGGATCTCGATTTAAATGATTTATATTAAGTCCGAAAAACTGTTTGGGTTTTAAAGTGATGAAAGCTTAATGCATTGGCCGATGCCAGATATATTTTCTTATTATATGAAATATTTAGTGAAATAGAATGAAGTAGGTCGACTCGAAGTAGGTCCACTGTGGAATTCGTCTGGCAGCTTGGAAACGTTAGGTGTGACAGTGACGAGTTGCAAGAGGGCGACGTGGCGACGGTTCACTTCAAATATTGAAAATAATTATTTTTCTTATTTAAAATACTGAGCAATACACGACCATTATCCGGCATTATGGTCACCAACGATATGTTATTAGGCGTTCTAATGGTAATTGTTGAAAGTCTTGAGAAGAGAATATATTTTATTCCTGAAAGTCTAAGAAAAATTGGTCACAAATATATTTCTGGTGAAAACTAATGGTCACGACGAAACATTTCTTTGAAACCAATGAAATAACATTGAAACAATTGATAAGGTAACAAGTTATTATTTTTCTTAAGAAACAACAGTTGTTGGCAAATCTCCAGTGCGCGTCACATTAATTTCCATAATAAAAAATGTAGATTTGACAATAAGGTGTAATTATAAACTTTTTCTGAATCAGATTCGTACGGTTTCGAAATTGACCTATATTTTTCTGCTGATATAGAATCATATGATCTAAAAAGTATAAATAGACATTAGTCACTTAAATATTTTTAAAATTATGCCACAAACACAGACGTAATAGTTGCCAAAAATAATTCGAGTGTTTCCTTTCGTCATGCTCGCTTTAATAACAAATATAATACACATCAATAATATTAGACATCCACCAACTGCGCTTAAATTGTATTTATACATCATTTATATCGGTTCCAATATAGAAAGCATATGGCCAATGTGCTGTACCAAATTAGAGCAAATTATTTTAATGTTCTTCTATCAATTACGTTTGCACTTGACTCTTGGCAAAATACTGAATTAAAGTTAGACAATGTATGAGTAACCTTCCAGACAGATATTAAAATTGCTAACAATCGTTACACGAAACTATATATATTTTTATTATTCGGACGGCAAACAATAGAAACTTTGATTCCCCGCGGGCTTTCCATTTTCTATTCTTCTATTAACTGAAATGTGGAGATAAATAGAGTATTTGTGCTGAGATGGAGCGAGGGCGGGCGGCGCAGAGGAAGCGGCGCTGGGTCAAGGGCGCCCCGCGGCCGCGACCGCCGCCCGTTGCAGGAAACTGCCGTCTGACATTCTCCGAATTATCGCTTTGACTCTATCCCGGGCAAGGACACCGCGCGATGCGAACTCCATGCCGTGCACAGATGAATTCATACCACTTTAAAATTTAATTACAGCGTAAACAAGTTGAGTAATTTCGCAGTTTCGTGATGTTGAAACAGTATTGACTAGTACAGAATGTTTCAAATGATTGAATCGATTAATTCTTTATGTGGTACGCGGATATTCTGCGCAATGATATAAGGAACGCATGAATAATTTATTTATTATGTTTAAAAACGAGATAAACGACTTGACACTACGCCTAACCAGGAAATCGACAACTAATATTTACTCCATTCAGTTAGAAGTAAACATATTCCTAGATATTTAATGACCTTTAAAATAGCTTATTTAGAAAACATTACACACATACTTACATCAAAAGAGCAAAAGTCCACGGTACATACGTGGTATATGAAAGAATTTCTATTATAACGCATTATAACGAAGCTGAACAAACAAGAGCGGAATACTTTTCAAATTGATTCATTGCCACTGTTGACTTTTAACCACTTGGAAAATGAGTGTAATAGAAATATTTCATTAATTAAAAGTCAACACGTAAACATTTTAGTGGCACCAATAATTAAATACATTCATCGCAAAACTGAAAAGGTACGAGAGAATAATAACATTTTAACGGTACGGCTCCGCTAGTCTTTATTGTGTCCTAGATTAGAAAGTCATGTGTTGCGTGGCAAGAGGCAAGGTTGTTAGACGATATTAGGCCCGGAATGTGGATGTTGACATTCGAGTGATAAAGTGATAGGTGGCGAACGGCGTGGCGCGCGCGCAGCTCGCAAATAGGGGCCCGAGGCCGTTGCGACGTCTTTGCCCGTTGTAACAGCATCCTGGCGAACACGCAATAAACATCCGCCTTCGATCCTACGCATATCGTTTCAGCGGACCGTTTACAACGAATATATTTGTATCTATTAGAGCGAGATAGCTCGGAAGTTATATTGTCTCGATCGCCGCCCGTAGGAATGCGCCCGAGCTTACTAAGAAGTACATCGCCGCAAGATTGTAGCGACGTTGCGAAGTGCAAAAAGTGAAACTTACATAATACGCGAGTGTAGATTATGATTTCTCATATTTCAGAGTATACTAGAAGAGGAACTAGAACAATTCAGCAAGTTATATTGCGTTGCTTTCATAAAAATACGAACATGTTGTACTTGTTGATTATGCTTTTACCATTTTGTAACCATATCAATGACTAACGAAGAGTAAGATTTCGGAACGGCATGTACTTTTTACATAAGTGATATGTAGTTTGTTTTAATAATTCAATTTATACTTGTAAAATCTACATCAGGTACGCTTGTCATCATTATCTTAAAAGATGCGAAGGTTTTTAAAAATATTATCGACTGTAAATTTTAACGAAATTTATAATTTAACAACTTAATAATGTTAACCAGCTTATAGTATCGCGTAAACATTAACTGTAACAAATGATGTAAGTGGAGTTTATGGCAGATTCAGGTGGTAAGAAAGTCCTTAAATATTAATATTTACATTATTGATACTATTATTTATATATAAGTTTGCTCATCACCGTTTAAATTTGCAATTTGCAAAACGATCTCAGGGTTTACGATTACACGATGTCGTAAATTACTGTATCCCTACAGCCCCATTTCGCCGTACCTTCCCGAATAAAATTCAATATAAAAAGTAACCAATATAAAGAAGATCCAAATTTTCATATAAGCTTTGTTTTAATCTTAAAGCAGAATGGTTTTGATTACATGATTCAAGAATATTTGTGCATTGCAGTGACCATGCAATGATAACATATTTTTAATTTTTTATTAAAAGAAATGGATAAAAAATTGAATGATGCAAGATAATACTAAAGCAGATATCATCGTGGAGTTCTTCAGGATTTGCTGTCGCTGCGTTTATTATTTTTGCAGCAGTTTGTCGTCTTAGCTTATGTTCTACAAAATAAAAAATGAAATGCCAGATTGACCAGATGAAAATGTATTTGCAGTTTAAGGCTAGATGGAACGGAACAAAGGGATGGTTCGTGCTGGTGCGGTGTGCGATCGCGGCATTGACACATGCGGGCCGGCATGCGGCGTGGGTACCGTTGGTGCGCGCGAAGAGGGTGAGGGTGTTCGCGTGGCGGGGCACAGGCGACTTGCGGCGCACGTAGTAGTGGTCGTGGTCGTGGCGCTGTGGCGGCGGCGGCGGCACGAAGGGCGGCGGTGGCGGCAGGCGCGCGGGCCTCCGCCTCGCGCCGCCCGCAAACGCGTCCATGGCGGCGAGCGTGCCCACGTCGCCCATGCTCTCGGCGCGCCCGCGGCTGGAAGACTGCGCCCGGTGCGCGATCGTTACGTCTCCCCTGCGAACCCTCACCCCGCTACCCCGTCGCCCCCTCCACCTCGCCCCCCGCCCGCGAGCCTCCGCGCGCGCTCTTCGATCGCCGCCCGCCCTCTGCGCTTAGTAGTCCGCCCGCCCACGCGCCGCTCAGCTTTGTTTTGAATTTTTAATTTAACGCCATTCATCTAACGCCAGAGAAACGTGAAGCGACACGGACTAGCGGCACTATGCTTTATAAAGTTCGGCGACCCGCTTTAGTACCTAAGCTCGGGGCAAGAGAATGGTTAAGCGCCGATCGATGAAATTCGTCCGTTTGTGTATGATGAATATTTAAAATTCATACAGTGAACGTAAGTAATTTCATTTTACGGTTAAAAGGGCGAAGTTGAAATGAAACCGTTGAAATGAAAATGCCAAGTATTACATTACCAACTAGGAACAAATAAACTTGAATGAATACTTCAACCAATGAACTCTCCCGTGTCCTTGACAATTTAAGCGGACCATCGCAAATTTTAATATAAATGCAAAAATACGAACTAAAAACTAAAACTTTTGCATTTTTGTATAATTTCCATTTAAGAAAGTTTGTAATGAGAATATACTTGATTAAAGAAGATTATACATACACAAATAAGTAATATGGATTAAAAACTAAGACTTTCTGTTAATCGATAGATATTTAGTATTCTCGCAACCATTATACTTACAAATATTGAAAGTAGCATTTATGTTATATGCTTTTCCCGAATCCTCGTATATAATAATTATAAAGAAGTTTTGAAAGACATTTTTTTTGACAATTTTCTAAGTGTACTCCTAGGCCAGTGATGGGTTCAGTCAGGTTCGATGCCTATTACTGGAAAATATTGTTTGATAAACATAGTGTTTTTCTAGTTTTTGCAATACTGATTATGTAACACAATAAATTTATTTAAAAAAGAAAGGTATGGTTAGCTATATATACAGAGTGTCGTTACCATCGCGATAATAAATGAACACACGTCTAACGCTACTTGCCAATAATCATAAAAAAATATTAAAGTTCAACAAAATCCATAATTAAAAAAAAATATTTTTCAAACAAACTAATTAAGTAAAAAAGAAACAAAATTTGTAACATCCTGTACAACTCGCGCCACAGCGTCGCATTACAAGCCTCTCCTTCTAACAGTATGTTTGGTCTCTTTTATTTTCATTCAACCCATTCATATGCTTTGTGACCTTTACAAATGAACTTTACGTTACGCTTTTATAGGTAAGGGTGTTCTAAAATTCTTTATTTGGAAAATTTAATAACTCTGTAAATATCGATGTTTAAAGAATTTAAATGTTTAATACAACTTTAAAAAGTTATCCCCTATATGTGTGTTCATTTATTATCGCGATGGTAACGACACGCTGTATATATATATATATATATATATATATATATATATCACGTCTTTTATTCATAACACAAGCTTTGTTTATATTGAAAGTAAATTAGTTCGAGAGTACATAACGCATTTTGTGTAAAATTTATTTTAGTAATTAATTATTTGCAATTTTTAAAAAATCATAGTATAAAAAAATATACAATACATAATACATAATAAAAAATATAACCTACATATATTAAATTGGTTTAGCCGATTCTGTGACATAATAATTTGAGCTTTAGCAAAAATTAAACACATAGGACCGGTCCTAGCCAATTAATACACTCTGCTTTGAGGTATTTTTGCAAAATAACGCCATTTCTTTTCTGTTTACAGAAAAGATTGGAAAGAGAATTTTCACCAACTAATCTTTAAGGATTGATACAAATTGGAAAAATCTATAGGTATCTATTGTTAATTATATGTATGTTTCGTCTGACAATTTCGAGAGAAAAGACTTTAAGAAAAGTACAGCTATCGTAAATTCAAATAACATCAAAAGATTTGTTATTCTTTTGACGTTAAGCCACTCGTTAAAGAGACTCTTGTTATATATTTGTGAAAAAACCTTGTTTTGTAATTAAATTAAGAGCAAACATAAAGAAAAGAAAAAGAAAATCATTAAAAATACTTGGCAATCATGTTCGTTGACGAACAATACTAATATAATATAAAAAATCTAGAAATCTGTTGAACTGATGACGAAAAAATATGAGAAAACTACGAAAATAGATATTTACCTTGTATTTATTTGAAAACAAGAATAATTCACCATTGAACATACGCAAACGAGATCCTATAATTAAAATTTAAAACCACATGCCTTTTAACTTAAACTTACGGGTTGCCAACTGTTTATGAGATAAATAAACTATCACATTTTTCAAGTAGTGAAAAAAAGTATATTTCTAAGTATTATTTATTTTCCTTTTGATGATATACTTTTGTACGCATCTAGGACAACTCACAGATTTTCACTATACTTAAATTTTTGGAAGCTATCTTTACCTTCCTAATTTAAATTGAAATAAAAAAGTATTTTTTTTATAAAAAAAGAAAACCGAGAAAAACACATAGTAGTACACAGACACACTGATCCTACAAAGATATAAAATATATCAAATGACAAATTGACAAATTATCACAAACAAAAGACGTAAAAAGATTTTCTAGGGATATTTTTTTTTTGATAAATCATAATATCTTCTTATCCTTTAAACGAACAAATCTTGTATATATATATATATAATCGGAATCTCGGAAACGGCTCCAGCCATTTTCATGAAATTTAGTATGTGCGTAGATTCGGGGGCGAAAAATCGATCTAGGTAGGTTTCATTTTTAGAAAATGTCCTTTTATCCCTGTTTTCAGGGAATGAAAAATATCATTCGAATATGACGGTAAATTTCGCCGCAAAAGAAAATTTTATAATAGCTCGGTCGGTAATCAGGCGGCCCCAAAACAGACGGCCGTGGTTCGTGTCACGATCATTTACACACTCTTTTTTTTACTTTTTTTTCCGATTCCAGATCATTGCTTTCTTCATTTTTTATTTTTTGTTGATCCAGATGATTTTGTAATTTTTTCCCTTTTTTTTAAAGTTGTTTCCTTTGTGAAAAACACCACTTCATATTTTCTTATTATTAGGTCGGTAAGATCGAAAAATATGCATATTTCATTACTCAGTAATTTGTAACTGAATGTAATTTCAAAAATACACGATTAACAAAAAAAAAAAAACAAACCTCCAGGTACTAATATAATTAATATCAAAAGCATCTAAGCCGAAAGAGTTCTTTTTCAACTTAGAAGTATGGATAAAAATTCAGGCAATTAGCTTTTTATTTTATGCATCACAGTAAAGGTTGAAAATAGAGTATTTTGACATACAAAAGTATAAAGTATATTTTGAAAATATAAAGTATGGTTGGCAATCCTACTTACACAGCTCAGTCACCAAAATGATGTCTTATAAAATCATCCCATCCTCAAATTAAAATTTCCACTTGAAATTGTGGATTGGTGAATGAAAGTGAGCGATCGCGGGAGTGTAATAACATTATTGATGCCCAAAAACCACACCATTATGTTATCGGTTTACGAGAGCTGTAGCGAACACGAGCCGTCGCTGGCGTCATACTTAATAAACATCATTAATTTTGACAGTGCATGATGCCAGTCGCATCCGCCATAACCGACTCCCCAGCGGCACACGAACAAACGTCATCCTCCCACATACAGTTCCTCAACACCCACATGTTCGGCGCGCGGCGTGACGTCACCGGGCATTAGGCAAATGTACGGGTAATGATCAACGTTATTATTCATTTCACGTGACTATCGGAGCACGGAGCAAGTTGTTCTTGATAAGTTCGCGCTCCAACTTTAGCCGGCTCTATTCGCAGCTGCGACGTTCAATCAAACTTGGACGACGCGGATGATTCACAATGTGCAATAACATAGCTCGGGTGTCGTCGGAGTAATTGCGCCAACGATTTCCATTTAGATACACAGAACATATAAAACCCAGCGTATTGTATTATGTATCAGAATAGTAGGTATAAAGCAAAATGCAGGAATGGTTTTGTGGTTTCATAACTACTTTATAGTAACCATCTACATGGTTATAAACCACGTTGAGTTCTATAACTATCGCTACATAAAATTGCCATACTATAAGTGAAAATCAACAAAAAGGATTTCAAAGTCGATGTCTTAAGCAGCAGACCTGCATCATGTATACATAAATAAATTAATACACCTTTTGTTCGCTGAAAAAGTTAAACTCTTTAGTACGATATGCAACTTTGGCATTTTGGCAAACGTTGTTGGAGTTATAAAAATATAACCACTTAAGATTGTTATGTTTCTTTATGTAATAAATTTATTGCGGCAAGGTTAACAACTTACTAAAACTATCAATGAATTTTTGTCGTGACTTCAATATCGGAATCTAATCAGTGGACATCGGATTAATTCGCGCTACTTTCTTTGTATTTTTTTTTATTATTTTATAAGTTTGGCTAACCGTCGCCTTATCAAATGATTATTTCCTAAACATTACGCAATTTTGATTACTCAATGAAGTTAAACATGCAATTAACCTTCATTAAGTATTAAAAATTAACTATTCATAGTGTTCCTGCTTTTATGATAATTTTCTAATGTTTCCGTTTAAAAGTTATATTGAATGCAGTGTGTTTCGAAAACAATGATGATGATGAAATTATGGTACAACTAAATTGCGACAAAAGTGTGAGAGGTCCGCAGACCCTATTCGATAACAGTCACAAGATCGGTTATCACAACTGCGTCTGTTTCTATATTAAAAACAACAATAGCGAAGCAGAAAGCCACAGTAACGATCAATTACCTTTACGTGAAAGTGCGTTGTGTTGTAGTTGTTTTATAAACGATTCGCTTCAGTCTCAACACCGCGAACGGTAATCTCGTTTTGGACAGTGTAGCGGAAAAATAAAAAATAAAACATGACAAAACATCTGCGAATCTTGGACTAGTTACGGAAAAACTTCAATCTCTTTTTATACAGAGAGATTTTTTGAGTAGTGCCCAAATTTACACAGGAGGTTCAGGAGGTTCAGACTCGGTAGTATAATCGTTTTTCAAAAAAAAAATGCCAGTCTATTCCCTAAAAAACAGAACGTGTTAACAAGGCGGTAGTCATTCATAAATACCTAAATTTTACTGTGAACTTGTGTGCGTGTTAGTTATGAATG